ATAAATTACTTGTACCTGATGATGACAAAACCTTGTCGAAACATTGTACATTTGCTGTTATATTAAAGTTTTTCTTCATTACCCATTCAAGCCGTCTCCAGCCATTATTTCATCTCTTGTGCTTTCAACAATTTTTAAATTATTGTTTACTTTTGAACATTGTTTTAATTGAGTTTTTAATGGATCCTGACATTATTTTAAAAAATTCACCAATAAAATAAAGTATTGACTTTTTCATGAGAGAGAGACATTCAATAATGTTTACATTTTTTTGTTTTTATTTTAATACATGTAAAATTCAGTAATAATGTAGTTTGCATCAAACATTCTAAATTTTTTATTTTATTATTATTATTATTATTTTTTACAGGAATACATACATAAATATTGTAGGTTTATGTTATTTATTACTATTAGAATGTGTTCATATCTTGTCAAGAGTTTCCTTGTATTATTATGTTAACTTCTGATCAAAATGATTTACCTTCACAAATCAGAACTAAAAATAACCCAGTAATGAACATATATAAATACTAGTAGTTTGTTTCATGTACTTTTACTAATTTCATGTGTTTTGAAAAACTTGACATCATTATATGCAACACTTAACATCTTGTAACCAATGAAAACACATTAAGTGGCTTTAACAATATAACTTGAATATCTTTAAATTTGACTTAAATTATTACAACATGTGCTGTTGTTAACTATCAACTTGGGGAAAAAATATGTATATAGTAACTGCATCACAATTTTCACTGAGCTTTGTGTATAGCTTGATAAGTAAATTCTGTAGCCAAAATGTAGATGATCATTAAAATTAAATCTTATCTCAAACTAAAGTGTGTTACATCTTAAGTGCTATTAAACCATTTGATGGTTTCAGAATAGGCCTGTATATTCTAAGAATTATAGATTTTATAAAAATAATAGCATAATTTTTTTAACTAAACCAGTTGTGAATTAAATTATTATAATTTTTTAGTTATGATAGAAATAACTATACGTTTCTTTTTCATGCAAGACATGTTTTAGAGGGGAAAAAGCTGAATGAATTCTCACATAGTTTTGGTGTTGGCTTGAAATATTATTTTTATTAATCAATAAAACTTTTCTTTTTCTTAGCAATTTTTTTTTACCAGTCAACATTAAGTACTTTCTTTACATGAGCATTTTTAAATACCTTTATGGTCCCATGCTTAATAATACAGACATACAACAAATAAATACAGCATGGCCAGAATATGAAAAACCTGGCAGAACAAAAGAGCTTGTTGTCAAATTTCTAGGAAATGACATTCACTGAAACTATATAAAAACTTTTTAAACAAAATATTTATTCATTGACAGGTAAATAGCATGAAATATGCTTTAGACGAAAGTTAATAAATTATTTTCATTTATATCAATGAACACTAATGTGTAGCTTATGGTTTTGAAGTAATTAATTTTATGGAGAATTATCTGCTTGAGACTTAAAGCCCCAGGTGTTTGTCTTAAGATAGTAGTATAAGCTATGAGTCCTAAGATGTAAAACCCTGGTAGCTTTATAGGTAGAGTGTCAACATCAAGACACTAGAATGAGCTAAGGGTCCTAACGCTTAAACCTTTATAGCTCTGAAGTAGAGCATTGGTCACAATACACTAATATTAAGTTAGATGGTTGTGTGATTTAACTCTTTCAGCACGGGCTCGATTCCTGGGACCGACCTCGTAACCATTCTGTGCTTGTTATAGTTTTCATGCTA